TCTGTTAACAAGGCAGGGGGAACTTAAATCAGAAGATGCAAAGAAGGCAGAGATACTCAACAGCTACTTTGCCTCAGTCTTCACAAAACATTAAGCTGCCAGACATCTAATAGGGATTATCTGGATAAAGAAGGGGGCAAGCTAAGGGAGGAGATAACAAAAGAGACGGTCAGAGAGCTTTTGTTGGGTCTGAATGAATTCAGATCAGCAGGGCCAGATGAGCTTCAGCCCAAGGTCCTGAAGGAACTGGCAGAGGAGATCTCAGATCCATTGGCAATGATCTTCATGAAGTTGTGGGAGAAGGGCCAGGTACCAGAGGACTGGAAAAGGGCCACTGTAGTGCCCCCCTTTAAAAAAGGCAAGAAGGAGGGCCTGGGGAATTATAAACCAGTTAGCCCCACCTCAATACCTGGGAAGTTCCTAGAGCATATCCTAAGAAAGGCCATTGCAAGCATCTGGGGGATAAAAGGTTGATTGCAAATAGCCAGCATGGATTTATGAAAAACAAGTCATGTCAAATCTTTGACAAAGTAACTACATGGGTGGATGAAAGGAATGCTGTAGATATAGTGTATCTGGACTTCAGCAAGGCTTTTGACAAGCTTCCATGTGACTTTCTCATAAACAAATTGGAGAAATGTGGGCTGGATAAAACTAGTACAAGGTGGATAGATAACTGGTTCAATAGGTGCAAGAAAAGGATAATTATTAACAGCTCCATGTCAGAATGGCAGGAGGTTTCGAGTGGAGTCCCACAGGGATCTGATTTGGGCCTCGTGCTGTTCAAGGTGTTTATAATGATTTGGAGGCTGGCATAAAATGCTTCTTAAGCAAGTTTGTAGACAGCATGAGTCTGGAAAGGACTGTGAACACATTGGAGGATGTGAGCACAGTTCAGAAGGATCTTGACAGATCAGGAAGTTGGGCTTGAGCTAAAAGGATGAAGTTCAACGTGGGCAAATGCAAGGTGTTACACCTTGGGAGGTATAATAAAAAACACAAATACAAAATGGGGGACACCTGGCTGGATGGTAGCTCTATGGAAAAGGACTTGGAAGTCTTGGTAGACCACAGACTCAATATGAGTCTGCAGTGTGATGCAGCTGCACAAAAAGTTAATGCCGTTTTGGGCTGCTGCATCAATAGAGGCATTAGGTACAAGATGCAGGTGGCAATAGTGCCTCTCTACCCAGCACTGGTTAGGCTTCATCTGGAGTACTGCGTGCAGTTCTGGGTTCCATATTTTAAAAAGGAGGTGGAGAAGTTAGAGAGGGTCCAGAGGCAGGCAACAAAGATGATCAAGGGCTTGGGAGGCAAAACACATGAGGAGAGGCTGAAGGGACTAGTCATGTTCAGCTTGTGGAAAAGGCACTTAAGAGGGGACATGATAGCAGTCCTCAGATGCTTGAAGGACTGCCATGAAGAGGAGGGAAAGCACCTTTTCTCTCTTTCTGTAGAGAGGAGTATGTGGATCAATGATCTAAAGTTGTAGAAAAGTAAGTTTACATTAGATATCCAGAAAAATGTCTTAACTGTAAGACTAGTGAGACAGTGGAATAGACTGCCTAGGAAAGCTGTGCCCTCTCATCACTGGAGGTGTTCAAGAAGAGGTTGGATGCTGGCTGGGAATGATCTAGGCATAGCTATGCCTATTTTCTACCCTATGTGTTTCCTATGCTTCTGGGCTTTGTTGGTTGCTCCCAACTCCACACCTCCTGCCTCCCTTTTTCTGCTATATGTGTTAGGGTGTTGTTAAGCTTCCCCAGAGGTGTTAGATGTTGACTACAGTTAAAGTCGAGGACTTGAATTGGGATGTGCCAATTCTCCTGCTAGGAGCAAAGCCAGAGGTTCCTGGCTAAGGGGTCTTGCCCCTCTGCTAAGGTTCATACTGATCACCATATTTGGGATCAGGAAGGAATTTTACCCCATAATCAGATTGGTATGGCCTGTGAGTTTTTTTGCCACCCTTTGTAGCAGGGGAACCCAGGAACTCTTGAGCATATATTGACAACATTTTACAGAAGCAGGACATTGGCTGCCGTGGTTCCCCTGTTTTACCTGTGGCAGGTTCAGGTGTTAGGTCGATGTTGTGTCAGGGTTGAGGGTAGTCCTATGTAGAGTTTAGATTATGGCTGCATGAAATAGTTTGGATAGGAATGATCCTGCCTCAAGCAGGGGGTTGGACTGGACCGGATGACCTCTGGAGGTCCCTTCCAGCCCTACTTCCCTATGACCAAGCCCATAACAGGCTTGCGGGGGCTCCTGCATGTCATAGTCCCCCTCCACAAGAACGATCTCACCCTTCTGCTCCCTAGGTCTGCTAGGTCTTCCCAGTTCACTGTGAGCAGCACAAGTTAAACTCCTGCTGGCGTGATTCTAGCCAGGGAAGCTGCCTCAGCCCCCACAACCACCTTTTTGACTGGCTGCCTTTCCCATTTGCCCACCTTATAAGGGAGAGCAGCCAAGCCAAGCAGGGCTGGTTCAGGTAGTAGACAGAGCTTTCTCCCTAAGAGCAGTACCCAGAGATGTAGGGGAGCAGAAAGAACCCAGTAGCTCTAGTAAGCTCTGTTCCCCTCTTCCCCCAGATGCACGAGTCATTCTGCTTTCTGCCCTTCCATGCCCAGCCAGTGGGGAGGGATGCAGAGTCCCTGGAGCTGCAGAGCAGAGCTAGGCAGAGAGGGGAGCAAGGGGCAGATGAAAGCAAATGATTGATGTAGGGACTGCAGGCGTATCATTAATTGCTGGGGCAAAGAAGGTCAGGGAATTAATTATTGAGGATTTTGTGGCTTGGAGAGAAGCTGGAAGAGCTGTGCTGTGACACCAGCACTGAGGGCTCCAGTGCTGTGGGCCAGAATTACCTTAGCTTGGGCATGGGAGAGAGTTGGCAACATGGATTGCTTCACACATACACATATATACATGCACTCAGCACACAGACCATAGGGGAGATGTGCAGGTAGAGTTCAGAAATCAGAAGACTGATAAACAAAATAGCTCATGAGTCTGGTGGGGTCTGACTCTGGTGTTTGTGGTTGTCCCAAGCTGTTGCCTTCTGTCTAAATCACTGTCCCTTGCTGCACTCCTGTAGCCTGATTCTCTTTGCCCTCAAAGACTTCTGATTTGTTTTCCTGATCGTTCTGTCCTCTCCTGTCTAGAAATTATTAGAGTCCCTGTTCCCCAAAATGATCTGGGACCCAGTCTTTTCCCTACAGCTCATTCCAGCAGGGGTTGGGTTACCCTATATTGAGGAATCAGACTTGGTACACTCAATATGCATCTTTCCTTAGACCCCTACTAGATCCACCCATTGGCCATGCTAGGGCCCAGGTAACTGTGGTCTGAAAGCTCATTATGCTAAGTAGGCTACTGCGTAGGGTCAAGGGGGCACACATAAACTCCTCCAAGAAACACTTCTGACAGGGGAGCCCTATATCTGGTCCACAGAAAAGCAGGGCAGAGCCAGGTTGATGTGAGGCTTGGAACAGGAACAGAAGTCCATATGGCTTGTACCTTGGTGATTTTACACACCTAAAGAGCCCCATAGGGACCACCTGAGCATGGGTGACATTTCCTCACTGGTCTCCCCACCATCTGACTATAGTAATTGTACGGTGTCTGTCCTCTGTCCCAGTATTGGTGCCTACAGGAGGTTATGAATAAATTTGCCTTGTGTCCAGAATCCCATCTCTGATAACTGGCCACTACTTTGTATTTCACTAGGACCCCCTAGGTGAAAATTTATGTGGTAACTTGCCCACATGGAAAGTTTCTTTTTAGACCTGTCAGGCAAAGGTTGTCTTAAATTCTCTAAAACAGAGGGTTTATACCTGTTGTTAAAATGTCTATTTATTATTATTGCCCTGATTAATCTCAGTATCCATGTAAATGTTCAGCCCGTTCCTGAGGTCTCCTAAGCAGTTTATCTTGGTATCTTGTGGCAATGAGTTCCACTGATGAATTGCACAATGACTGAACTAACTACTTCCTTTTATTAATGTTAAATTTGCGACTTCCTGATTTCACTGAGCGTCCTGTTGTTCTTGAATGAAAGGAGAAGGTAAGTAGGAGTGTAAGCCGGCAGGTCCAAACGTGATGTCCCTGCATTGCATGAAATAGAGCCTGGTGCTGGGTGCCAGGAATGCTCTCAAGGGTTTCTGGACCACCAAGAGTGTGGCAATGGGTTGCACAGTAGTCTCTGGTGTCCTGGGGTAACAAAACATATAGGGCTAGGCTAGAGGCTTAAAGGTAACACAGAAAGAATGCGGCACTGATTTGGGGGGAGGGTGTGTCCCCGTATAGTTACTCAGATGCTGTGAAGACCACATAAACCCACTGATGTTAATGATATTAGATTCCCCACATTGTCATTGGCAGAGAAGAGGGAAGGTAGGAGTGAAAAGGTCTAGGAGACTGAACTCCCCTTGTAACCACCAAAAGGCAGCCTCCGGAGGGGACAGCATGAGGGAGATTACACTAGCAGAGACACCTTTCCCATGTTTCCTTTTCCCAGCCTCTGCCCTGCATCCTACAGTACTTGTCAGGAGTATGCATAGCTGTATTTCAACACAGCTGCTCTCCACAGGGTGACAGATCATTGAAATGGTGAAAATTACAAAGGAAGAGCCAGAAGCAGTTTCACCTTTGCCCTTAACCCTCTTTCCTCTGCCTGCTGCCTCCACCTTCCCTATACAGAGACAAGCACCTACTGCCCATGGAAGCTATTTCTAAGCAATCCCGGGCATCTGGGGAATGAGGCTCTGAACAAATATCGGAGCGTGCGCATGCATGCACACACACACAGGCACATGCACACACACGGTGCTGCAGCAGAGTCAAATATAGACCTTGGGGAAGGGGGAACAATGGCAGGGGGTTGGGTTACACTGCTGTAGGGCCAGCAGGCTGCTGGCGTGTATTGTGGGCCAGGGCAGACTGGGAAAAGAAAAGGGGGGTGGGCGTGGACTTTTGTTTTAATATGTAAACCCCAGCCTGGTGTTGTGCAGTGTGCATGTGCAAGAGAGTGACCTGGAGTGAGAGCCAAGCTAGGAGATGTTAATTTGAGTTGGCAGGTCTGCAGTATTTGTGGACTCTCTCCAGATGGTTTCTGCTGTTCCCCTGTCTCCTTTGAAGGATTAGAGTGGGCAGGAGGGGGTGCATTTCACTGGGCTTCTGCACAGGAAAGCTGGTTTTTTTTGTTTGTTTGGGGTTTTGGGTTTTTTTTTTCCTTTTTGCCTTGGGGAAGGTTCCTCAGAGAAGGGGAAGTGGCAGCATCACCTGTTCCCTCAGCTCAGCATCTGCCTTGTGCTACTGATGTCCAGCTGCCTCCAAGGAGCAGGTTCCAGACGTCGGAAGAAAGGAAAGCAGCTCCAGTCAGTTTTGACAGGTATTTTTTTCTGTCTCTATGAGAGTGGTGATGGTAATTTTAAAGGGTGGCTTGGGGTGGGGGGGGGAGGGCTCTTCAGCTTGGATATGCCATGGGGATGAGGCACAAATGCATCAGGGTGACAGGTCATTCCAACCCAACCCCAGGTTCCCACTTTGTGGGATTTTCTTCAACAGGGGAAAATCTCTGAACAGATTCTTAGGGCTAGAAAAAAATCCTTCCTAATTCTGACCCAGCAGCTGTTCAATCCGAGAAGCCTCCAGGGATGGGATGGCATAACAGTGAGCAGAGCAGAGTCTTAGCCTGCAGTACAGTGCAGGAATCCTTTTTCCAATGCCTGACTAGGTCTCCGGGAGGCTGGACATGGTGATCAAAGTCCTAGATTTAGGACTCTGCCCTGGAGGACAAGAGCCCTTCACTCCTTAGGAAGTTTCATCTTAGGTCTTCTCCCACTCCTTTTTTCATTCCCTCCCCTCCCCCTTCTTTCCTCTTTTCTACCTACCTTCTTTATTTCCCCTCTCCCTGCCTCTTTCTCTTTGTAATAATCACATTAAGGTTGCTGACAAAAAAGGAAAAAGCCAACAAGTCTTGTCTCTTTAAATTCGTCCATTTTGCCACTCTGAATTATGTTCCCCATGATTCCCCCTCAGTGCCACAGTTCTCACCTTTGAGAGAAGCAGAATGGAAAACCCTGGGTCCTGTACCACTTACTGTAATCTAATGCTGTCTCCCCCTTCAACAGACAGCAGTGAGTTGGGAGTACATATTGGTATACATACACTGACATCAACAAGGAGTGGTCCTCATTATGCAAGCATGTGTACACATGCACAATACACACTATCACAAGTACAAAAATATACAGGATATCAGCACGACACACACACACACACACACTACAGTCTAGCAGATGCAACCTTCCTCTTGACACACACTAAGTAAACTGCAGCTTAATTGCATAGGGGCCTGTTTGTACAATGGCTTCACAATGCACAGTGTCAGTACACAGTCATTATCCCAGTAAAAGGTATGAGTGCAGGTGAGGACAGAAGACAGGGAGAGGTAGGAAGAGTGAGTAATAGCTAACAACTGCTACACCAGGGTGGTGTCTGAGGAGGTGGGTGAAGGCAGCGTTGTTTCAGGGATGGGGAGTGGGGCTCATGGATGAGCAGCCCTATGGCAAAGGTGCTGACAATTAATTCCTTATGTGTAGGTAGGATTATCAGAGGAGAGAAAGCAAGTAGGAGTCCTGGGCACTGTTCAGAGAAGGCAGGGACAGAGAGAGGGAGCTCTCTTTGCCCATCTAGCAGCACCAGCTGGGGGGCAAGTTGGGAATGGAGAAAGCAGTTTTCATGCTTTAGCAGAGGAGGGGAAGGGGTATTATCTCTTCCCCCCCTCCTCTCCAGGCTTCCTTTTTCTCAAAGCTATAGTATCAAGAGAAGGAGAAAGACAATTGCACATGGAGCTGGGACCATGAAAGGCCTTGAAGATGAAGATAGTGACTTTGCAGCAGATGGAGAACCAGACAAGACCTCTCAGGATGGAGCTGATATAGCTGTGTTCCATATACACCTGAAAAGACGGTTGAAGTCTCCTGAACAGACTGGAATTGGATCTCTGTGGCCTTGGGAGGCCATGCGCCTTTGACTGACTTGCAAAGGGATGATTCAGCAAGGAAGGTCCACAGATGGTGGCAGATTGAGATGCTCGTTTATGTGCTCAAAGTTTGGAGATTTCAGAACCGAGAAGAGAGAGGAGGTTAATGAAAAGGGAGGTGGTTACATCAGAGCTGTGGCTGAGAGCCTTTCTCCATCCAAGAGCCAGGGTATCTGTCTCAGTGATATTCAAGCGGACAATAGATGGTTCAGGCAGGGAAGTGGTTTCAACAAAGCCATACTTGAGAGTATTAGGGTCCCAGGGTCAATGCAGTTTCCTTGAGGAGGGCTGCAGCTGCTGTAGTGTTAAGTGTGGTAAGGACAGAGATGCTGAGGAAAGAACGAATGAAAAGGGGACTGCTGTAGACCCAGGGTGGAAAAGACATAAGGTGAGGGTAGGGAAACGGGAGAAGCCTGTCTGATGGAGAGAGGACTGGAGTATGTTAGAATAGGAGATATGAGCACAGAGTTCATAGTATCATAGTGCTTAGGGTCGGAAGAGACCTAAACAGATCATCAGGTCTGACCTCCTGTCCCGGGCAGGAATGGGTGCCAGGGGCATATCACCCCAGCCAAATATCTGTCCAGCCTCCTCTTGAAGACCCTCAAGGTAGGAGAGAGTACCACCTCCCTTGGGAGTCCATTCCAGAGCCTGGCAGGCCTAACTATAAAGTAATGTCTCCTGATGTCCAGCCTGAACCTTAGTTAGTGGCTGTGGTGCTGTTGCTGACTGATGCAATTCTGGAGTGGGAAGAAATGGCAAACACTAAGCACCAGGTGAGAGGAAGAAGGTGGTCAGACTATGGGGCAAGCCAGTCATGCTGAAGAATGAGAAGTGTCAACACTTTCAGAGGTTACACAATAATAGACAAGAAGAGGCCCTACCAAGTAAGAGAGAGGCCCTGGAGGGGACTAGCTGTTCTTGCTTGGTCTAATGAAGGAGGCTCTGAGGTACCAGGACCTCTCCAGACGATCTTTTAAAAGCTTCCAGTTCACAGGGCCTTCAAAGGCCTTCCCCCATGAGAAATGATTGCCAGAATTACTCTGTGGGCCTACCAATCTCTTGGGTTGAAAACAGCAGGGCTTGTAAAATAGCATTTGGCCTACACAGGAAGGGCTGAAGAAAGAGTTTTCATTTAACCCAGATAATCTGGCACATCCTTCTAACACCAGACTAGAAGACGGAAACATTCTGCAAGAGACGATTAATATCAAAGATGAGAAATGAGTATGCTTGGATAGAAAACAGAAACAAATATGAGCATTAAACTCCACTTCAACCAGGCTTAGAATATGCAGCCATTAAAATGTAGCATCTTTATGTGACACGTCCAGGTGAGGACTCACTCCCACTGCTGCTTCTGTTGGCGAAGTGGCACTGGTGCTAACGCCACTGTGGAGAATCAGAGGGAGAGATGCCTGGAAGGCCCCCAGGCTCACTCTGTCAGTTGGAAGCTGGTTACAGTGCTTGGTTCTCCTACCCCAGGCTTGACTCTGTGTCCCCTGTGATGAGTGTGTGCAGCAGGCAAGGCTAGGCCATGTCCAGCACCTGTGGTTTAGAGGGGGTGGTGCTCAGGAGTCTGCCTGGGAGCTCTCCTTGCTGGCAGCTTCTCTCTCCAGCCCTGGAAGTGGATACCTGGTACCTACAGCCATTTATCCCTTTATTTTTTCTCTCATGCCTACATCCCACTCCATGTCAAGTCCCCCCAGACCCCTTTTCCCCATCCATCATCAGACTGGAACACAGAGAAGGGGTGGGATATTGACCACAACACTGCCCACTGTGGAGTTCAGGGTCAGGTCTGAGCCATCTACAGTGCTATTCCCCATAGAGGAATCCCCCTGCCACAGGCTTGGGGCAGATCCTAGGTGGTGGGGGGGCTCTTCTGTGCCCCCTTCTCCACACCTTCTCCCTGCAATGCAGCAGGGCTGGAAGCTCTGGGCCTACCCAGCGTGTGTGTGTGTGTGTGTGTGTGTGTGCTTGTGTAACCCTTGGCCAGCCCAGCCTGTGTGTGTGTGTGTGCGCGCGCGCGGGCGCGTGTGCATGTGTGTATGCACACTCGTGTAACCCTGGGCTAGGCCAGCCTGTGCGTGCACACGTGTTTGTGTATAACTCTGGGCCACCCAGCCCAGCCCAGCCCAGCCCGTGTGCGTGTGCACATGTGTGTGCGTGCATGCTCGTGTAACCCTGGGCTGGGCCAGCCCGTGTGTGTGTATAACTCTGGGCCACTCCAGCCCAGCGCAGCGCAGCGCAGGCCGAGTGTGTGTGTAAGCGCGCGGTCGTGCAACCCTGGGCCAGCCCAGGCCGTGTGTGTAAGTGGGGAGGCGGGAAGCGGCGGTGCGGGAGGCGGCGGCAGGTGAGCGGTGCGGTGCGGGGCTCGGCGCAGCTGGCGGGCGGACGGGAGGGAGGGAGGCGG